AAAAAAAAATGTCATATGTTGCAGCTTTCCAGTCCTTGGATGTGGTGACTGTGTTAGTGTTTACTTTTCAGACTAAGAGCATTTCAGCAAGTACAGAAAATACCTGCTAATCTTGCTAGAAATGTAGTGTCTTTGTTAATTCCTGTGACCCTAAAAGACAGCAAAAAGAACATTATCTTTATGTGTAAACTCCAAGCCCCATTAATCCACCTTGCAATGGAGGTGAACAAAGGCAAATTCAAAGTCAAGCCTGTGTGACTACAAAAACTTATACCATAGATACAGTGGAGGGAAAAAAAAGCGTAGACATGAAGGGACAGGAAGTGTTTTATTCACAAAAATACTAAGCAAAGCATGGAAACAGAAAACTAATTCAGCCACTACATCTAAGAAAGCTTTAAAATTGGTTGACTTGAACCTACACTTCAAGGCAGACATATATTCTAACATCACAAAGTTTACTGCTTTCTACCTCAATCAGATCTGACCATATAATTGGGCAACATTTGCCTAACCTCATTCCTTTGTGCATAGGTTCAGCAAACCTTAAAGCTATATTATTACATATGTAATTGAGAATAAAATAATGCTCATTGCATATTCTGTTCATTTGCAGGTACTCAAAGAAATCCCAGTCTATAGAGCACAAATGTGGTTGCTGTCAAGAGACAAAAACAGAAATGGTAACCATTAACCTAAGCTGTCCAAATGGTGAGATAATGAAATACAACTTTATCAATGTCATGAGCTGTTCCTGTGCTGACTCCACTTGCAATAAAAAAAAACAGGAAGGAAGCGAAGAAGATCCTCATGTGACAAACCTGATACCACAAACCACCGTAAAAGTAATAAAGGGTTCAAAATCACCCAAGGACAGAAAAGATCATCATACAAAAAACAAAAAATATGGATCGGAGTCCACCGAAAATGAAAAGTCTGAGCAAAATTCATCAGACGAAGAGGAAAGAGCTAAGCCAAAATCACAGACCAATGACAAAATGGTGACAAAGGTTAAACAAGCTACAGACAGAAAAGATCAGAAAAAGGAAGACAGTAAGAAGTCAAAGTCTAATGAAAGTGGGGAAAAAGAGAACAAATCGGATGAGAAAAAAGAGACCAAACCGGTATCCAAGCCAAATGAAAAAATTATTCAAGTGACAAAACAGTTTAATAACAACATGGCAGCTGAAAAGGGTAAAAAGGACAGTAACTCAGAAGAGACACATGGGTCTAAGCCAATATCACAGACCAATGACAAAATGGTGACAAAGGTCCAACAAGCTGCAGACAGAAAAGATCAGAAAAAGGAAGACAGTAAGAAGTTAAAGTCTAATGAAAGTGGGGAAAAAGAGAACAAATCGGATGAGAAAAAAGAGACCAAACCGGTATCCAAGCCAAATGAAAAAATTATTCAAGTGACAAAACAGTTTAATAACAACATGGCAGCTGAAAAGGGTAAAAAGGACAGTAACTCAGAAGAGACACATGGGTCTAAGCCAATATCACAGATCACAGAGAAAACAACGACCACTGCAGAACAGTCCATGAGCAAAAAAGTCATGAAGCAGTCCAATGACAGCAAATCAAATGACAATGCAAACAAGCCCATGGACAACAAAGATAAAGATTTACAGGACAAAAGCAAATCAGCATCACAGCCCAACAAAACTGCACAGCCAGGAAACAACAATCAAGGTGTAAAACTTGTAAAAGTTCCTCAGGGCACCGAAAACGTTCAGAAGACATCAAAGCAATCCACAGAAAATATCAAGAAAAACAAATTGTCAGGAGTTGGCAAATAAGCCTAAAATTGTTATGGGCAATGTACAAAAAAATATTTTATTTGTCATATTAATACTTGATAACCTAGTCACACATAAGTACACATTGCAAAAAGTACAAAAATGCTTCCTACTGCGAATGGTAGGATATCTAAATGCAGAAAAAATGCAACATATTGTAATCCTAAAATGTATCAGCTGCATTAGTTTCCTGTTTTTCATTTGTCTTTCCTTTATTTTCACCTATTATTCCTGTGAATAACACATATTCTGTCTCTGGGTGGATACGCTCAGATATGTAGTCTACAGTGAAATGTAAGATTAGTGCTTCCAGTTTAGTTTACAAGAAGTGAAAAGGACACTGCATTTCTGACAAGATCAACAGGTATTTCCTATACTTGCTGAAAATGTTCTTAGCCTTAAAAAAAGGAAATTAATGCAGCCACGATGTCTAGTGACTGGTAGGCTGCAAAATATTACATGTTTGCTTTTGGGTCTATTTATCTTTTAATTATATAACTAATGTCTTCTAATTTTATAGCTAAACTTATGGTACCTAACTTATGGTGTGCTGGGGAAGATTTCTTTGTAAACCTTAATGTTCACTTCTGTACTTGAAAATGTCATCACAAATATTTCTAACACTGATTAATAAACATATTTTGAGCAAGTTACCCTTTTGTTTTTTTTTATAATTGTCATATGAAATTTGTGCTTATGATATATCTATTCTATACATCATTAAAGCGAACCTTCGCCCCCTTTCACTAAAAATCACCTGTGTGCAGCTCTGCATTCTGATATGAAATCATCTTACATTAATTACATAAACATATTCTTCATTTAGTTACAATTACTGTTTGTCCCCTTCCTGGTCCTCCTGTGCATTAGTGATGTAATGTGCCCAAGCGTTGCATCCTGTGAAGGTTGCATCAGCAGAGCATTGCTGGGAAATCTCATCTGTAATCTTATGAGATCTCAGGGAAAGGCATTTTCCTCCACTGAGATGATGTGCATGGCCACATGTCCTAATCAGTCAGATGATGTGTCAAAGTTCCAGGAAGTAAAGGGAGATCTAGTAACCTGTCCCTAGTTAAAATGGCCACTGTTAGAAGACTGAGGAAGAAAAGAGAAACAAGATATGCAAAGAATAAAAAGCCGGCAATTATCTAGAAGTATGTGATTGTAGATTGTCATTACCAAACATTTCTAAAGCTATATTTGTTATTTCATATATATGGGTAAAGTTCCTCTTTAACCTTAGTAAAATCTACTGAACTTTCAGTTGAAGTTAACACTTAGAACTAGCTCTGGGCACATACATATATACTATCTGATAACAATATAAGCATCCACAAGCAATCTCATATTTTTGTTTCATCAGTCAAATCGATACATGATAACTCATCATGATGTATTGCTGAGATCACATCACAAAAAACTGACATTTTGTTTTTAAGATACCAAAAGATTTTAATTCTTCAAGATAATGAATAGTGTTTTTTTACATATTTTTTATTAAGGGAGTTATTCACATAGGAGCCAAAGGATCCAGACGTAGCTTCGGCTGATCCTTTGGCTCTCTTCAGTCGCCGGAGCCCTTCGGTTCAGTCGAACAGAAGGGCTACTGTACGGCATATCACGGCCGGCTCCGCCCAGTTCTTTTTCATTGGCCAGGACCTGCTAGAAGACTCTGGCAGGTGCTGGCCAATAGGAAACAGTTGGGCGGAGCTAGCTGTCACGTATTATTATTATTTTTTCTTTTTTTTATAAAATATTTATTTATTTTTTACTTTTACTATTTTTTTAAATTTTTTTCAACCCTTTTTTTTTTTGCCAACTATTTCCACTGATTTTCTATTCTGCTCTGTACCACGGTGGTACCAAGCAGAATAGCTCAGCGGTATTCTGCTTGGAAAAAATGACATGTGAACAGAAAAAAAAAAGGCGTGAGGGCCCCCCTCCCAGACCATACCAGACCCTTTAGGTCTGGTAGGAATGTTAGCAGGGACTCCTGCATTGAAAAAAAAAGTGTGCGGGGTTCCCCCCAAAAGTCATACCAGGCCCTTTAGGTCTAGTAAGAATTTTAAGGGGAACCCCACCACCAAAAAATTAAGAAAAAAACCATGGGGTCCCCCCTAAAATTCCCAACCAGACCGTTAATCCGGGCACTTGCCTGGCAGGGCAGGAAAGGGAGGGACGAGCAAGAGTGCCCCCCTCCCTGTGCCTTACCAGGTCACATGCCCTCAACATGGGCAAAAGCACCCTGTCCCCATGGTGATGAGGACAAGGGCCTCATCCCCACAACCCTGGCCCAATTGTTGTGGGGGTCTGTGGGGAAGGGGGCTTATTTGCATCGGAGTACCTCCTTTTATAAAGGGGGTACCCAGATGCCACCCCCTCTTGTGAATGAGTAAGGGGTACTTGGACCCCTACTCATTCACTAAAAGGTTAAAGATAAGGTAAATAAACTGCTCAGACTTTTGGAAAAGCACCCACCCCATGTTGAGGACATGTGCCCTGGTATGACCAGATGGCTCGTTCTTTTCTCCGATTTCCTGCCCTGCCAGGCCAGTGCCCGGATTAAGGGTCTGGATGGGAATTTTAGGGGGCACTGTTTTTTTTCCCTAATTTTGGAGCAGTGGGGTTTCCCCTTACAATTCCTACCAGACCTAAAGGGCCTGGTATGACTTTTGGGGGGGTGCCATGCATTTTTTTAAACTCCGGGGTTCCTCCTAACATCCCTACTGTTTTTTTTTCTTTTACACCTCTCTTACCAGCATACATATAAAACATTCCATCACAAATAATACTATTATCCTGAGATATCTGCTTGTTGTGGCTGGTGTTGCCCATAGACATATAATTGTCACCAATCTTCCTGAATGTAATTAAGATTGGGCAACATTTAGCGGTCTGCGTATAGTTTCATAATTTTCTTTACTGCAAACTTACTTTTGGATTTACTGCAAGATTATTTTGTTTGTTAATTTTATTAAAAAATAAAATGGTTGTCTAAGGTTACTGTTTGCATTTAGCCTACAGGAGAGGTATGTTGTAGCAACACAGAAACAGATCCAGTCTTTCAGCTAAACATATGGGTAAAACTGGAATAACTGGCATCTTCGTACTTTGGAAACTTGCATCTTAATTATTATCAGTTATGTTATCTCGCTAGCCAAAAAGGCAACAGCCCTCACAGACATTAGATGACTGTTACCCCATGTGGTCATTTATGGCCAGATCAGATAATGATTTCACATCTAAATGACCACTCTGGGGAGGAGGGGTACAGATCAGGCAGATAGAAAAACCTGAGTACAGTATACTAAATTACAAAATAATACACAAATGTATTAAGAAAAAGCCAAAAATTAAAAAAAGAACTGCCTCCACATCTCCTGGTTCAATAACATACACAATACAAAAAATATTAGTGTTGCATTAATATAAGTGTACAAATAATTCTATTATTTTGTCCCATCATGTCTATAGGCCATTCAAATTTCAACTATTTTTAATCTGCATTGTGGACAAGAAAATCTATCATGGCTTTGACCACCAAGGTAGCAGAGCAGAGCCTTTAATTGCATACAGTATATATCTAAGGATGTAAAAGTCTATGAGCAATGCATGCTATGCTAGATATATCATGGTTTAGGCCACCAAAGTATCAGAGTTGAGCCTGTGGTTACATGTATAGTATATACAACAATGTAGATATATCCATTGCTTCATTGTTGTACAAGCCTTGCTTTAAATTCCTAAGGCTTATATGGCAAAAAAGCAATGAGCATGCCTGCATGTTTAAATGGACACTATGTAAATCTTCCTTCTTTGATTTATCTAGATCAGCGGTGCCCATTATGTCGATCGCGATCTACCAGTGATCGCATAGCGATCACTGGTAGATCGCAATGTCCTGGGGCTTCTCCTCTGGATCCCTGCTGCTCTCCCCATCTATATGCAGCGGGGCTCCGAGGAGAAGTGAATGAAGCGCTGCAGCTGGTGGCGGAGGAGGCAGCCTCTGTTACAGAACTAAGGCCGAGTAGTGAGGAGAGAGAGAGATGCTCGGCCAGGATCTGGCAGCCGGCGCCTCTCTCTCCCCTCATTGCTCGGCCTTAGTTCTGTGACTCCCTCTTCTGCTGCCCCCGTGGCTGCAGCGCTTCTTTTACCTCTCCTCAGATCCCCTGCTGCCTCTGCCCGGGAGAGCAGCGGGGATCCAGCGGAGAAGCTGAGCCCCCGTGTGCGTGGCCAAGTGGCGGAGGATTGGTACATATCAGTGATATGTACCGATCCTCTGTGCAGGACAAACACTGGAGCGCTCAGCTGATCACTCCAGTGCTTGTAAATAAATGGGGACACATAGTACTATGTGTCCCCAGTTATGAATGAACAGGATGTGATTTACATCACTTCCTGTTCATTCATGACTTTCTCAATGGGGAGAAGCACTCTGTACAGAGGCTCCTCCCCATTCAGAAACTGGATGATAGTAAAACAGTTTCTGAATGAATGGGAAGCCTCTGTGCTTCCCATTCATTTAGAACAGAGATTGAGGACTTTGTGCACGCAGGCTCGTGTGGCTGCCGGCTGAATGTGTCAAAAGCTGCAGATGGAAAGGGGCAGGACACCTCTCCTCATGTGCAACGTTGGCCACATGACCACCGCAGGAGGACAGGGCAGCATTTTTGCGGATCGCACCGGACTGGAACGCAGGCACTAATGTGCCTGGGTCCCGGGTGCAGGCAATCGCAGTGTGGGCGAGGGGCCTGCCTGCGGTGCCTGGCTGGGGTGCCATTGACTTCAATGCACCACCACGCCTCCTCCCGCCCCTGAATGCAGGTGTTTTTTCACTGGTAGATCTCATTGAGCTCGTCATTTGAAAAGTAGATCTCCAGATGAAAAATTGTCGGCGTCCCTAATCTATATAAACAGTTTGTATTGGATTTACTGATAACCTGAATGCACTTTACACAATTTTTTAAAGTTAGGGTATCAAATCTGCAGCCTATTATTGT